ACTCGAGGTGCCTGCAGAGCCAGGCTCTCAGATGGACACACACAGCACGTTTCACTCGAGGCGCCTGCAGAGCCAGTCTCTCAGATGGACACACACAGCACATTTCACTCGAGGCGCCTGCAGACCCAGGCCCCCCAGGCCCAGCAGCCTCCTCGTACCCTTCCTCACATTGGGTGGGGCATGGAGATTGAGAGGCCACCTCCCAGACACACTGCAAGACGTGTGCCCTGAGCCACCTCCCCTTGCAGGTATGACCAGGGCACCTGGGGCTGGTTGTATCAGTCAGCAGAACCACTGGACAGAGACCCCAGTCTTTGTGCCTCCCAGACTGCTTTGTGAAATAGTGTAAGCCTCCCAGAATGGGGCCTCAGGTCAGGCTGGTGACCACTAACTCAACTCAGAAGCACGCTGACAAAGCCCACCCTGCCAAATTCTGCAGAGTGAACAGGTGGGACCGGGTTGGTGGAGGGACTCACTGCAGCTACTCGAAAGGCCACCAGTCCCCCCAAGGCATCAGACATAGCAAAACTGGAAGGAAGAAAAGGGCTCAGGCAAGAATAGGGCTGGTTTGTGAGCAGAGGTAAAAACAAAGTTGACCTCTTTTAGTTTCTCAGAGTTTCGGTTTGGGAAGACGGACCGTCTCTGGAGAAGGAGATTGGTGACAGGCCCAGTGATGTGGATATGCCTGGTGCCTGGACTGTGCACTCAGCACTGTCTAGAGCTGACCCCAGGGGAGCAAAGGCATGGCCAGTACAGCTCAGTGCCTGTGCATACCTGACCCACCCCTTCACTGGTGGTTCCTGGTTTCCTGTTTGGGTCACACCAGGAGAAAGGGCCTGGTGCGTGACACCTGGGCTGCACACCTGCACCACTTCTGCCTAACTGTGCAGACGTCTTATGTATCCACTTGGCTACTGGCTGAGGTGTTCACTGTCCCAAGGTGCTAGACACAGGAACATGCAAGGCACAAGTGAAGGGGCAGCAGCTGGGTAGCCGGTGGCAAGGGAGCCCACGTGCCCTGTGGTCTGTCTGCATGTGCTGTCTGTCCTATGGCGACCACGCTCTGCCTGTCCAGACGTCTCCTCCACGTGGTGGTCCTTCTGGCCCCCTGAGTTTTACAAATGTCATCAAAATCATTCTCCTATTTCTGAAATTTTATCACCCCCATCCACCATCTTTTTTCTTCCTTAATTTTTCATTCCCAAAAGTAGCAGCACCCTGGAGCTAAGATCAGTCTCACTAAGGACTGATTCTAACCAGGCTGGTGCTCCAGGGGACGTGAGAGCAGCCCATGGTCTGGCCCACATCCAGCAACAAGTGCCCACGGCAGGCTCTGTGGATGGCAGAGACCAGGTCACCTAGATGGGAAGCTCTGTGGACAAGAGTACTACGGACGGCAGAGGCCGTGTCACTGGGAACTTGTCACCACCTCAGGCCACCCTAACTCGGGTCAGGAGCAGCACCATCCCAAAACCCTGTCAGAAAGTCACATCAAAGCCTGGGTGCCCCTCTGGGCAGGGTGGCTCTGGGCCTCTTTGTGCAGCTGCAGACGTGAGTCTTGTGTCACGCTCTGTGCCTGGGCCTTTTCAGTAGCTATTGGCTGTGTCTCCCCAGATTACCCAGCCTCTGCCTGCCAAGTGTGGAAGGGAGTAAATTTAAATTGGTTCATCAATTTAAATTACTTAATAAATGTGCAATACAGAGAACAAGTCACAGACCTTTTGTGATCAACGTAGAAAGTTAAAAAGTAAGTAAAAAGCCATGGTCAAAACTGTGCTGACCCATAAACTCCGCTGACCCATAAACTCCGCTGACCCTTGCCATGACTGCTGTAGATTAGCAGCATGCCCAGGACCCCGGAGTGAGGTCTCAACACACCGCTGAGTAAACACGCAAGTGACAGGGTATGGAGTGTTTTGAGAATCCATTTAGATTTTTTAAATGGAGTGGACACATTTATGTGTATCTTATTTATAAGTGTCTTCACAAATTGAAAGCTCTGGGCACTACTCAAGAGTGTTAGTACCAGTCACCTCAGCAGACTGGAGTGGCAGAAGGGAGCTGAGATTTTCAACTTTTTGTCTATCCAGGTCTTTGGTGTATGGCCTATTACATCTATAACTAAAATACACTATCTTATGAAAAAACAAATTACAGAAAACTCAATAAGGAAAAATGCATGGTATAAACACACTCATTTACATACACAAATGTTTGCCATAACTATTTCTTTCACTAGAATTTTCTTGCAAATCAAGAATTGCAAGAAAAAAAAAATAGGGTCAAGTACACCATCCAGGGAAATCCCCACTTTTATGGTAAATTCGTAGGAATATAAGTGTTCAAGCTCATCCTCAGTGAAATGTGCTTATCAAAATATATCCACAGCTTCAGAAAGGAAACCTCGGGCCTAATTGAATTTTTAATACAAAAAGCAAATGAGATTTGCCACTCTCTTCTCCACTCAATCCTACTTATTCACTAAAATCCATCCATATAAAAACCTGATAGAAACCAAAAAGCCAGCAAATGACTTGTAATAAGTCTCAGTTGAGTGCTTTGAAGCTGTGAATTCCAGATAGTTACAAACTGTGAGTCTGTGGCTTTTTAATATTCATCATTGTCAAGAGGTTGTGAAATAAATGAGCACGAATAAATGCTGTGTCCACCACCATGAGGTTGCAGTCAGCATAGGTGTGTGCGGAGAACTGGAAGCATCCCGCAGATGTGTGTGGCTAGTGAGAAGGGGACCAGGTACACCTGCTGCTCTTCTTGAAATTCAAGGTGAAGTGACAGAAAAGGAAATGGGAGCTTTGTGCAGGTGAGGGGAGCCTGGTGCTGGTCTGAGGCTATCCCACTCCACCAACAGGCATCGGTACCCAGGCAGGCTGGGTTTGCAGGCTCCTCAGTGTCACCTTGGGCGGGGACCTGCAGGGCACCAGCCCTGACCTAGACTTCCGAGTACAGTACTCTGACCTGTGCAGAGCACTGCAGGATGAGTGCTGTGCTCCCAAAAGATGAGCTCATGTCCTAACCCCCAGTACCTCAGAAAGTGAACTTACTGGAAACAGAGTCCTTGCAGATGCTGTCAAGTTAAAACGAAGTCACTAAGGGACCTGATTTGGTGCCTGGTGGCCAGCAAGGAGGTGAAAAGACACAAAGGGGAGATGACCTTGTGAGGCTGGACTGGAATGAAGGGTCTGCAAGCTGAGCATCATGGAGGACCACCGAGGAGACCCAAGACCTCCAAGAAAAGCTGAGGACCACCTAGGACCACCTAGGACCACCAAGGATCACAACAACCACCAGAAACTGGACCCTCCCCCTGAGGCTTTGTGGGGAGCCTGCCTTGCCAACCCCAGTCTCAGACTTGTGTCCTCCAGAAGGATAGAATGGATGCATTTCTGTGGTTTTAAGCCACCTGGTCCATGGTGGTTTGCCACGGCAGCCACACGACAGCCTTGCATGGGATAATCTCAGCTCCTGGCAGGGGAAGTGGAGGAGTGGGAGAACTCCAAGGGACCCCCAGGAAAGGGGCATGTCAGCAAACGTGGACAGTGGCCATGGCAGGGCTGCTTCACAGCAAGGGCCTGCCACTGCTGCTTGGCACACCTCTCCCACATCCTGGGTATGAGGACAGGAAGCAGAGCCACAGCCTTTGATCTTCCGAGTGATGGCTTTGCAGCCTCAGGGAACACCGCCTGGCCAGGGAGACTGCACAGGCCCCCCACACCTGGCTGTGTGGCTGCACGGCTCTGCACGTGGTGCACACGGCTGGGGCCACTCCAGGATGTTACTTGTGAAGGGGCCATGAATGGATGTCTAGAAATAAGACACACAGGCACTAGCCAGAGCTCCATTCATGGGCTCCAGTCCCTGGAAAGTCCACCCAGTGTCACATTCACAGCTGACCGTAGCCTTGTTGCTACGGTCATCATTGAAACCCTGATACTGTGAGAGCCTGCAGTGTCCCCCTCTCTGAGGTCTGCCCGTGCTCACAGGGCTGCAAACCACACTGGCCTGGCACGGGGAGGCTGCACAGCTCCGCCTGGCCCTGCCTCAGGAGCAGAGCCCCCAGGATGCAACCCTGCCCAGAGCTCAAGCACTGGGCCATGACCCACCCCAGCTGTCCTGTGAGGCCCACGCACATGACCCATATGGGCACATGGAGGCTGCTCATGTCCACACATGTTCCTGGGTCCCTGGAGGCTGGAGTCTGGGGCTGAGTCCAGCATTTCTCCTGAGATGCAGGGTGAGTCCTTCCCTCTGGTACAGGGGCACAGGGATCCTGAGATGAAGGGGCACTGCCACTGATGCCCCTCCCACAGAGCAGGCCTGGGAGCTCAGTGCGTCTCAGTGTGTGACACTCACAGATCTCTTGCTGAGGGATAGCAGGGTTTTCACGTTCTGCTGAAGAAATCTTGTGTAATGAGTTGGCTGGAAACATGAGTCTAGGACATCAGGTAACTGATCACAGGTATTAGGGCCAGGAGACCAGGGCAGGTGGCACGTCCTCACCTGTAGTGCAGGGCATGGAACCCCAGTGGCACCCCCGGCCATCTCCTGTGCCAGGTCAAAAAATAAAGTCATAGCACTCCCCATGCTGGCCAGAGCAGCAGACACCACAGGAACCCCAACAAATGCCCCGAGGAGGAACACAGGCATGGTGTGTTCTCACCCTCGGAGGACTTGCTGGCCACCTGGGGGGCCTCATGGCAGCCTCCTTCCCAGCTGTGCCTGAGTGCAACTGAGCCCAGTGGCCTCCCTCAGGGCACTTGCAGCCTCTCAGGGAGGTGCTGGTGCCTGAGACCCAGAGGGCACAGGCCTGCTGTCCAGGCTCCTGGAACGAGCTGAGTATCCAGAGGAAGCCCAGAAACAGAAGCCCAAGAAACAACTTGTCTGGAGTTGGGCAGAAAAATCACATGCAGCCCTCAGGGTGAAAGCCAGGCCATAGGTGGAGCCAGTGACTGAGGCACTGGATGCACTGGATTCCCAGGGAGGACAGCAGGGCCTGACTGGGAGGATCCACTGAGCCCACGAGAGGATGGCAGCTGGAGCTCCCAGGGGCGTGGGAGGAGGTGTTTGCAGAAGGCACATCCTCCTGTCCTCTGCAGACAGCTGCTGAGGCGAGGGGCTGGCCTCTGTCTAGGCCATGAGTGCCCCATGGACAGGGCTAACACTGGCCACCACCCCCCATGGCTGTCCTGGCCCTGTGTATGCAGATGTGAACGAGTGTGCAACCCTGGCTCAGCCCCCCTGCCACCCCTCCGCACACTGCAGGAACACCAAGGGCGGCTTCCAGTGCGTCTGTTCCGACCCCCTCGTGCTGGCAGATGACAGCAGGACCTGCGTAGGTGAGCCCCTCCTCTCTGTGTCCACTCAAGAGTTTCCGTAAAACAAAAACAGTGTGTGCCAGGGTCATCACCCACAAATTTCCATCCCACCTGGGAAGGAGAAGGACAGTGTCTCGATGCAGCAACCGGGTTCACACGGGCTGCAGACCGCCAGGCACTCAGGGCGTCTGCTCCTTTACAGCCCCCGCCCCTCTGACGGTAACCTCACAGAACACTCATGTCCCAGTGGGGCCCAGGGTGCTCCTCCCAGGTCAGCCTCTGCACGTCCCACTTCATGGCAGGGCCCTGGGTTCTGGACTGGAACACTGTCCACTCTCCAGTCCTCAGCAGGGCTACATGTGTGGGCCTGACCCAGCACTCAGCTCAGTGCGTCCCTGGTGAACTTCCTCTTGGAGGGAAGTGCTGGTTTCAGCTCCATGTTGCAGAAGAGGATACTGGGGAACAGAGAGGTCAAGTGACATGCTTGGGGCCACACAGCCACTCAGGTGACCTGGACAGGGCAGTGCAGGTGTCCGTATGGGGAGGGCTGACCTGACCTGACAGGACAGTGGAGACATGTCAGTAACAATGCTGTGGGAAGACCACCTTTGGGCTCACAGTGAGTCTGGCCCCGGCTGCGTCTCCTTACAGAGACCATAGTCCTGGGCTAGGTCTCCACCCCAGGCACCTCTCCCCTCTGTCCAGAACTTTCTGTCTGATTCCCCCATCCATTCTTAACTTCATTCTGAAATGGGATAATGATAACTGCACCTGCAGATCCAAAATCTGTGGCTGTCCTGTGCCCCAGCTCAAGGACAGGCTCCCATTATGCCAGGGTTCAGGCAGCCCGCCAACCCCACCATGTAGCCTTCCCCTGCATGGAACCATCACAGTCCATTCTGTGCCCACTTTCCCAGCTCTTTCCAAGGCCTCTTGGGGTCCCCAGGGTCAGTGGCAGCCTCACTCAGAGGGTACTAAAAGCTTCCTGGTCTGGGCAGAAAGGGACAGTCCCCATCCTGTGGGTCAGCTTCAACGCTGATGACTGGGAAGGCTGCCTGCATGCAGCCTGCCACGTTGCCCCGTGTCCCCTGAAACTCTTCCCGCCTTGCAGTCCAGTGGCCCAAGACAGGGTGTGGCTCCGAGTCAGGCCCTGGCAGGCTCCGCTAACCTGGTCTCCTTCTGTACCCTAGACTCTGGGAGGCTACCGCAGGCATCTTGGGTCTCCATTGCTCTGGGCGCCCTGCTGGTCGGTGGCTCGGCAGGTCTCACCTGGACAGTGATTTGCAGGTGGTAAGTGCCATGTTCTTCAGCTGTCTTTGGGCACGGCTGGCAGTGAAGCTGCCTTGTTTTCCCGAGGCTAGTACAGGTTATCGGTACCTCAAAGGCATTGGTCTAGGAGTGATTTTGTGCAGGGCGTTAGAAGTTCTGATCCTTTCATTATGTTTTAATAGTGAGACTGGAAGGTAACTCACACAGCACGGTGGCATCAGATGGCTGCGCTGAAAAGTGCTGGGGTTGGAAGCAGAGACTCCTAAAGGGTTTCTCAGGGAAAAAAGGTCACCGTGGATAGAATGTTTTATTCTTCAATCATATCCCCTCCCTCAAGGGCAGGGATTGCAAGTTGAGCTTTTAAGATAAAAACGGCACAGATGTTCAGACCCAGAACTGACAGCTCCCTCCGTGAGCGTCCTCTGCACAGCCCTGCTGGGCAGACTCAGCATCCCCGCCCAGCTGCTGCTTCTCAGCCCATGATTCTTAAGAACTAAACTCATTGTTGACACGTTGAACAATTGTTCATTTTAAATGGGAAACATTCTAAAAAATAACAGCATAGACGACAAGAAACCACTGCTGCCCAGTCTGCACCCTGCGGGGTCACGCTGACAGCACCTGCAGGTCTGCACCACGGTGCCCTCTGCCCCGTCCTCAGACGGTGGCTCAGCTCAGCTCAGCTCAGTGCATGGCCTCTGGAGGAGCAGCTCCGCAGGCCACAGCAGACTTCTGTGGGGTCTGCAGCACCCCTCATTCACTGCCCTCCTGCACAGCCCACTACACACACCCCACAGTTGTGCTCCTGTAATAAACAACATCTCAGCAACTCCAGACCTCAGGGCCCTCTCAGCGCACCAAGAAATGCTTGCCTGACCCAGAAAGAAACTTCCTTACACGTTTTTCACATCTCACAAGAACTGGGCTTTTAAAACTTGGCAGGACCTTAGCACCCAACGTCACCCATGCTCACTGTTATTTACAAAGGGGCTCAGGAAGAATCAACAGCAGTGGCCTTTTTTTCCTATTGTTCTGTTGTCTGAGGGGCTGGTCGGGACTTCTGTGCCCGTGAGTTGCTCTTCATCCCATCTCTGAGGGCCCATTTCTGCTGCCCTGCAGGACTTCGGTGCCAGCCACCGAGGTTGACCTGGACTTCTAGGTTGACACATGAGTGTGTGATCTATCTGGTACTTGATTTTTAAGTGCTACATTTCCTAGTAGATTCATAGTTTCCAACAGAACTAACATCCAGCACAATTCCTATAATAGCTATGAGAAATTCTCCAAACTGACAGGTAATAGTAATAGTAGAGTCATTTGTCAGATCCAGGGCTAAGTGTGTTTTAGTCACTGTCTTGCTTGATCTTTCGATTGTGTGTCAGGTCCTTGCTAAGGGTTGAATCTCTTAATAAATTCCCATGTTAAATTCTAACCCCCAGAATCTCAGAAGGTGACCTTATTTGGAAATAAGGTTTTCACTAGTGTGATAAATGGGACACGGTCTGACTGGGACCCCAGCCCCTCCCGGGCACAGCAGGCTGTGGTTTTAAAGTAACACTCAGGTCTCTCTGCAGGGCACTTTGTCAGCTTTGCACAGGGCCCCAGCTCCAGCACCTGGGGGCAGGGAATGTTCCCAGAGTGTTAAGAGTCACTTGGGCTTAAATTCTTAGACATGACTAATAATTAAAACCCCCAGCTAACCATGAAATCAACTAAGTGAGAAAAATTGGGCTGTAAGTAAACAACTTCACAGTAGCTGAGTTCTGTAGTATATACCTGGGGTCACAGGTATAGATGAGCCAGGCCCCTCTGCCCTACCTGGGCATGGGGGAGGAACTGCAGGTGAGAGAGAGGGCGTGTGTGCAGCTGCTGCCACATGTGGTGGTGACTGTACTTCCCCTGCCTGTGGGAGCGGTCAGGCAGGTGTGGGTGTGTGGCACCCAGTGTAGCTGAGTCACGTCGGGAGTGGCCTCCAGGGTCTCAGGCCACCTGGATCCCACCTCCCCCTGCAACCTCTGGGGAAGCCCCATGTGGCACCTTGGACGCACTCACCAGGGCTTCTTTGCCGCCCCCACCCTGCCATGCCCCAGGCAGGGTCCTCTTCCACTTGCAACTTAGATGCTCACCCAAAAGGTTTCCAGGCTGCAGGCCCACACGGGTGATCTGAATCTCAAAGTCATGTGGGGACTCACCTGGAAAGTCCCATGTTCAGAGCAAAGAAATCCCACAGAAGCCCGGAAGACACCTCTGCCGGGGAGCCACCCGGGCACCTGCAGCCCCAAGACTGCACAGCAGAGCCGTCCCTCTCCTCGTCACCTTCCCACCCTGCAGGCCACAATGCTGGCAAGCTTTATGACAAGGACAGAGCTGTCTGTGTCCAGTAATTCTGGGGCAGAACCTGAGTCAGTGTCACTGTCACTTCTTGGAGGTGACACCAGATGAGACAGGTTGAAAGTGGGGGCAGAGGAGGGCACTGGGAATGGCATTGTCCCTTTCCTGCTATGATGCTCTCATGCCAGTCACTTTGAAGAGGGCAGCAGAATTGGATCTTTCACCACATAAAGTGGCCCAAGTGTGGCCCTGTACCTCCTATGCCCATACGGAGGCACCAGCCAGACACACTTCTCCAAACTCTGCAGTTTCTCCCCTTAAGTCAGATTGATAAAGTCCTAATCCGGTAGTTAAGGCACAATCAATAGCTACCCCTAGCTTCTGCTTCTGTTAATCCACCTTCACATCCCTTTATCCCCCACCTCCTCTGCCCTCAGGCTCTCCCTCCATCCCTCTCTATCTCAGTCTCTATATCTCTCTGTCTCAATCTCTCTCATTTTCTCTCTCCATCTCTCTGTCTCTCTGTCTTGTTCTATTTCTCTGCCTCTCTCTGTCTCTGTCTCACATACACATGAGGATGAAGACACACAGAACCGGCCAGGCAGGGAACATGGGGACTACTCGCTCTGTGTCCCTCCCCCTCCTTACTCCTTGTCCCAGGTGGCCCCTGTGTGCCCAGCCCTGGCCCCGAGTGCAGCCCCACAATGATGGGTGCCACCCTCTCCCAGGCAGTGGCCAGTGGAGAAGGAAGTGGACCCGGCTACAGGGCTGACAGTCACTGGGTCCTGGCAGCCTTTCTCTCAGAGGAGATGCCCAGCATGGTGGGGGGACTCACATCAGGGACTCTGCCGTCCCCCTGCCCCAGAGGGCCACTGGTGTCCATACAACCTCCCAGGGGCCACGATGACCCCATGTGTCCACCAGTGCCGAATCCCAGAGCCTCTGGATTCTTCCAAACCCTCTCTGCAGAGGTGCAGGTGGGAGGCCAGGGAAGGGGGCCACTCAGGGCCAAAACATGTGGCAGGGATGGCTGGACACTCGGACAGTCAGAGGGCTGTGGGAGGCATCCACTCCCATTTCTGCTTAGACCAGAGAGCTGTGCAGAAAGGCCCCTCACTTCAGGAAATCAAAAGACTTACAGGGAAAGGGGCGTCGAGCTTTAGAACTTCAGGCAACCCCTGGAAACACTGTCACTCACTCCGTAGGGCAAGTATCTGTATCACGGTTTACAACAAAGAAAATGCAAAAAGAAAAAGCTCTACTCAGGAGAATATGTTCCAGGTCCCTCCATGTAAACATAAAAGAGGTAAAGTCTCTATATTTTTTTGAGGCTGTGTAAATGTATTCATGATCTATGTGTATATGACTCAATAAAAAAAAAAAAAGAAAGAAAAGAAAAAGCTCACCATTGTAACACTGCACTGAGGGAAAATCATTGTGATTCTTTCTGAACTGAGAGTTTAAGTTTTCCCTTTTGTCCGATGGGTTTTCCAGAGAACACACTGTCTCCCAAAGACCAGTGTCCATGTTGGGGCACTGTGCTGAGTGTGACTCTCCTTACACTTCTGGACACATCTTCAGAAATACTCAGTGTCTCAGTGTCAGATGGCGCCTTTAAATAATAAAATAAAATCCACTTAATAGCATAACCTTAGTTATTTCCATCATTCCCAGATAGAAAAGTGATAAAAATGGGTGGTGCCTATGGCTGCAAGGAGTAGGGTGCTGGCCCCGTATAGTGGAGGTGGAGGATTCAAACCCGGTCTCAGCTAAAAACTGCAAAAAGAAAAGAAAAGAAAAAAAAAAAAAAAGTAAAAAAAAAAAATTTAGACATTGAATGATATGATGCAGAATCTCATCAACCCCCACCCCCCACTGCACCATGCACAGTTCTTAGTTCATCCTCACCCACCATGGCAACCGTTTGGATCACTGTGAGCTCTTCTCTGGAGAGAGACAGGCTGGTACACACAGAATGTCCCCGCAAGGCCAGTGGACAGAGGTTCCTGTCTCCACCATCCTGCCTGCTGGTGGAGGTGGCCTCAGGCTCCAGTGGCTCTGCTGAGAGAGAGGACGTGGCCTGCCTCATTCAGTGCAGGCTGGCTTGCCAGGAGAGCCGGCTTCTGTTATCCTTGCAGGCTCAGGCCAGTCCTGCCCAGAGCTGGCAGGCCAGTGGGCTTCAGGGCTCACTAACCAGGAGGCAACAGATACTGCCCACTGCCCATGGCCCTGCCCGGCTGAACCCACGGCTGCCCAGCTGGATGCCTGGTCTGAGCCCAGGAAAGCAGCCCGCAGATGGCGCACTCTCCACTCTCCGTGCCACCTCCCACAGACTGGGCTTGGTGACATCTGCTGGTGTCATGATTACAAAAAGAGAAAAATTCATGCCAGAATCCTAGTAGTTTTTCCTTTACTTCTTCTTTGGCACATTGCGGTAAAATACATAATAACATTAAATTTACCATTTGGGGCATTTTTAAGTGTGCAGTTTAGTGGCACTGAGTACATTCACATTGTTGTGCAGCCGTCACCACTGTCCCCATCGGATTTTTTTCATCCTGCAAAACTGAGACTCTGCTCTACTAGGCAATACTAGGTGACAGCTCCCCGTCCATCCCCCGCCTGGCCCTGATGCCCGCCACGTACTGCCTACCTCTCAGCAGTGTCGCCTGGCTGCCTGTGCTTTTGTGCCTG